TCGTCTCGTCAGACCACCTCCCGGCTCTAGCCAACAACTCGAATTGAGTGAAAAAAACTTCCCATTTACCTTGTCCATTGAACTTTGGAAGTTTAGCCGCTACCGTGGCTAATGGCAATAGGGCGCTGCCATCTCTGTTTACATAAGGAGGCCCAGCCATTTCCGCACGCGGTGACGTCAATATCTCCGTCGCCGTGACGTCTGTTCTGGTCGAGCGGTGTGAAGGAAAACCCGCCCGTTCTGCCATCTTGCTGACTGACAATTTAACTTCCGCCATGTGGCTCTCCAGCTCTTCTACAGCCATCGTCGCCTGACCCTCCCGACCGGGTACACCCGAGCCCACAACGGACACTTTGTCCGACTCTTCCTTAATTTTCCGCCTCGCCCGATCATCATGACCGTAGCTGCGAGTCACGCTAAAGCCAACCACGGCCTATACTGAAACAGCTAACTCGCCTAATCTCGATCTATCCCGTCGTTCGAAAGCACTTCTGACACCAATGTAATGACCCAGCTGGGTCATAAAGTAAAAGAGAGACGGGCACCAGGTGTACAGGCAGAACACAGGTTTATTCCTGAATGGGCTATTGTTCAGGCCACAGCCCACGCCGCTAAACCTCGAACGTACACAAATATAACATGTCAAGTTAAGGGCCCCGAACAGAAGAGAGAGAGATGAGACAGTAACCCCTATTTAAGCATTCCAAAACCCCGCGGGATTACCCATCATACCCCCCCAACCTTTCCATCTGTCCTGGCATATTTAACCCCTGCTAGCACCCATGAGAACGATAACACACCCACGAACACAGAACACAATACCGGGTCGTTACAATACTATACCTCCTATAATTCGTATGAATAACGTAACATAATATATCATACAAAATGGCGTGTCAAAGATTTATGTACAAAATAATACGAATTGCCCCGACACCAGCTTAATATTGACACAAGTCTACTCAACTGGCTAGGATACCTGTCAAAACTGCTTGAACCGACTCTCTTGGGGATTTATGATAGCCTACGAACCAAGGGGGCAATAAATATAGAATGCCTTCCAATAAAAATAAGAAAACACACTAGCAACAACAGGTTGCAAATAGAACAGGTTGCCAGAGCCTCTGTGATAGTTTGAAATAGCCCCCCGGTGCCTAGGAGAGTGTGCGCCCAAGTGGACAGTTGTTACGCGAGCAGCAGGTGTTCGACGCGAGTGATTTATCCAACTGTCAAATATCTCACTCATCTGAGAGCCGACAAAGAGGGAGGAAGGAAAAGCGGCTTGCAATGAAACCAGTTTGAGACTGAACATCAGTGTCTGCAGCTCACTCGGACAGTGTGGGAGTTTGGTGTCAGTGCAGGCAAAACCTACTTCGCCTTTTTCATATCGGAACGACTGAGCTGGGGACATTTACGCAGTGTCTCATACCGAGCTTCAACAGAGGTGTGATTAGGTGAGGATATGAATGGTGCTTTGCGTGCTTCATTCTTAAATTAATCATGTGCTACACAATTCAGAAATGTGGCCTATTATTTACCTGCCCACTGGGCACAGACGTCAATTCAACGTCTATTCCACGTTGGATAAAACTATTTTCACTGAAATTACGTGGCAACAATGTTGATTTAACCAGTGTGCCCAGTAGGTGGATACTAATATTTAATTGTGAGCTATGAAGAATGTATGGATTGGGTCAAGTAATTGTAAAGCTTTTATTTGGAACATATTTTTCTAACATTGTAGAATATAACAATTAACTTTGTCCCGCAATGGAACTTGTTGCTTTAAATACTTTTTACGTGGCCAAATATTAGAAACATTCCCTGTCATTGTGAGTAAATCAAGAAATACAGCAGAATGGCATGTACTGTAGACACTTGGGTGACATTGGCAATGTGGAATTGAATGTTACATCAGCAGCTATACAACAACAATAGAATGATACCCCTATATTAGCCATTCATTAATGTAATAGTACCCCTGAATAGTCCTGAAGTACAGCACTTGATTGTCATAAATAATTGTTTTAATCAATCCTATGCTTTCACTGATAATTCATATTGATAGATATAAAATACAATAGATTTGTACAATAGATAGATTATCAATAGAATAGATCATACAATTAGTCAATCAGTCTAAAGTTATTTGAATGTTTTGATAGTGTCCATCAAAATACACTGGTCTAAATGCAGTTAAGGCATGTGACAGTGGGAAGGGAAACTTCAGGTGGAAGGAAACCTTGAGAGGAGAGAGAGAGAGAGCTGCACTATTACAAATACAAAGATGCTATGATGTGCACACATTCATTGACCTTTCCCATGCAGACACAAACAGATTGAATTCACATTAAATTCTCATTCATCCAGAAATCAAACGAGGTTGAGCCAAACAACCATTAGCTTGCTCTGTGTTTGTGGTCTTTGTGTCCAATGCCAGTTGGGGTTTGGTCTAATGAATGAGTGAAAACCACTGGTCTTTAAGTGAGCTGGTGTTGACATGTAGAACCACATGGATATGTCACTCCAGGCCAAGCCGTGAGCAAAAACATCCCTGAGTCTCACATGTGACCAACACACCTCAATGGTGACGTTGTGTGTGTGTGTGTTTGGTTTTACTATCCTTGTGGGGACCAGAGGTCCTCATAAGGATAGAAGCCTAAAACAAAGAACATTCAAATAAGTGGGGACATTTCACGGTTCCCCACAAGGAAAAAGGCTATTTTAGGCTTAGGGGTTAGGTTTAGGGTAGGGTTAGAATTAGGGTTAGAATTAGGGCTTAAGTTTAGGGTTCGGAGTTAGGTTTAGGGGTTTGGGGTTAAGGTTAGGGTTAGGGTTAGTGTTAAGGTTAGGGTTAGAGTTAGGTTAAGGGTTAGGGCTAGGTTTGAACCCCACAAGGATAGTAAAACAAACGTGTGTGTGTGAAGGGGAGTTCGAGTTTTGTGGTTAAACAAGGGTGACGGGTGCAGTGTTGCCCTAAAGGTAGTACCGTATTGGTGTTTAATTCACAAGCGACTGTCTGTGTGTGTATGCACAGTAATTATTTGCTGTTCATGGATGGAACAAACAGGACCCTGTCAGTGTTGTTGGTCTGTGCACAGAAGGAGGTCACTGGGATTTTCAAAGCACCCCCACTCCAAAAGTGCAGCTGCATCAGAATCCATTGGCCGACATTCCAGACCTCAGCCACTACACTAGTGAACACAATGCCCACCGGACAACAAAAGGAGACCAATCCAGGGCATTGAAAAAGGGTGAAAACAGAAGTGAAGAGACTGGGTTTGGGGCAGTGCTATACACTGCTGCTGTTAGTTGGAATACAGTTAAAGAAGATTCATTTGATAATGTAAGTTGAAGATGTGTCTGATTGAAGACTGATTGTGACAGCTAGTAGCCATAGCCACTCCCTCCCTGAGTATTGGAACGCTGTTGGGCACACCTGCTTTACCCTTCCCTCCTCTGCCTTGTAACCCTGACTATTTCAGACCAGGGGAGCACATGAAGGAAAGGGGCTGCGTGGAGAGAGAGAGGCTGGTATATTTAGCATGCTCTATTTCTGCCCCTGCTGCTCTCGTAACTACCCCACCCCCCCCCTTCATACCCCCTCTCCCTGGCGCACTGCACAGGTCTCCCAAACTGTAATAAAGGTCAGACTTTAGTGTTGGTTCAGAGAGAGAGAGGACCACACACAAACACACAGCACACATGGTTCAATCTGGCCCATGCCATGTCGCCTTCAAAGGCACACTTCCATTGGCACCAATGCTTTAGGAATGCCTTGTAGTGCCAAAGATTTTACTATGTAATGCACATAAGCTCTGTGAAGGTCTTACCGGAATGTAGGCCTACACCTTTCCTTAAACTTAGATCTTTCCACACATAAATCAAATACAATAACGCCATCCTTTTGGTTACTAAATTGGACTTGACAAAGAGAGGCTTTTTTGTTTTACCCACTTTCTCTGGCACTTGTTTGTTCTTCTCCACTGACAAACAGAAAAGGGAGAAGAGTCCAAATTGCAAAATGCCCATTGACCAAGTGACCAACATTGTTGTAGCCTAGCTTTGATGGGTAAATGCTTGCTTTATACCAATAACTGAAATATAACATAAAATTGGGTTTTGATACTTAGTGCTGTGGCACACATGGTAAGCCATAGTTTTTCTTTGTTTTACAATATTTTGTCTCAAGTGGCAAACCTAGCTTCACAACACTAACAGATAATTGTTTACCATGCCAATGATTACCACAGATGTTAGGTTACTTGGGCAGTTTATCTACTGTATGGAAACTTAAGCTCTGTAATGGAAATACTGCTGTTTATAGGACTATTATTATGGCTATGATTATGTCAGCTTCAAACATGATCTGATCTGACCAGTGGTCAGGTGGATAACACTGCCCTCATAAACTAAGACTTATTGGTCCTATTCCTAAATGTGACCAAATGGTGGCCACTGGTGTTGCTTTGCTCTGATTCTTGAATGTTTGTTTGTCAACAGTTTTCTCTCCATTGCCCTCCTCTTGTCCATGCCCAAGCACAACGGTGTTGACTTCAGTCAGGTGCTGTTGATGGGTTCCGAGAATGTGGGAGATCGTTTTGCACCAACACACAGTCTTAAAAAGTAGTTAGCATATATTCAAAACGGTAAGAACTATCTACTTAATTACTTACAATTATATCTTTCTGTATTGTTTTTCATAAGTTACTCTGACTGTAAATATTGCGTTTTGCTTTAAAACTAGGTATGATAAATACATAGATCTTATGATCCGCTTGTTATATGATAAAATATTACAATATGCATTTGACAATGTATTCAATACAAATTGTGCTCTATATTGACAAATGGTCTACTGGAGTTGAGCCTAGGTTGTGCCTATGGTAGTGGTGTGGTGTTGTTTCCCCCTACAGGCCACAGTGTGTAATGTCTCTATCTGTGCCCTGCCTGCAGCTGTAGCCCCTGTACTGAGACCCTCGGCCTGAGGCTGGAAGGGGATGGGGACACTGGCCCTCTGTAGCCACTACTCACAGCTATCATGGAAATGCAGCGTCATAGTGGCATTGCTACTGTTTCACCTGTGCTGCCTGCAAGGTACTTTCTATGATCCACAGCTTTAGTCTTCAAACTACACAACAATGTCAAGCAACTGTGATATTTCTGTTACATGCTCAATGGAAATACATATTTTTGCTCCTACCATTGTTAAGTTGTGATATATGAACTGGAGCTTCCACCTCTCTCCCGCCTCCCTCAGTATGGGCATCCTGTCGCATCCTGAGGTGCAACTCTGACTTTGTAGCTGTCACCCTGGACCGTGGGGGCAGCGGTGGGGGCGGAGGGGGAGGCAGCAGAGAGGGGGGCAACGCGGGCTACTGCAGCGCCCTCCGCTCCTACGCCATGTGTACCCGCCGCATGGCCCGCGCCTGCCGGGGTGACCTGGCCTACCACTCGGCCGTGCAGGGCATCGAGGACCTCCTCATCCAGCACAGCTGCCCCAGGACAGGCCCCACTGCTCAGCCCCGGCCCCTGCCACAGGCCCCCATCTCTGGGTACGCCTGCATCTATGAGAAGGGCTACCTCCAGCGTGAAGGCCGGACCCCTGACTATCTCCACTGTGGGGTGTTCGGGGACCCCCATGTTCGCACCTTTCGTGATGAGTTCCAGACGTGCGCTGTACAAGGGGCCTGGCCACTGATCGATAATGAGTATCTATACGTTCAGGCAACTAGCGCCCCCATGAGAGGAGGGGCGTATGCCACGGCTCTCACCAAAGTAGGCCTCATTTCTAAAATTATATACAGTCAATTATATTTTAGAAAATATATTTTAGAAAATTATACAATTTACGATCCGCTCTTAAAGGCCCAGCGCAGTGTTTTATATATATTTCCACACTGAGGTTTGAATAATACTGTGAAATTGTGGAAATTATGATAATGCCCTTTTAGAGCTGTTTGAAAAGGCCACCTGAAATTTCAGCCTGTTTTAGTGGGATGGAGCCTGGTGACATCACCAGACGGCAAATTAGTTAATACAGCAATAAGAAAGAGAGTTCCAAACCTCTCTGCCAATAACAGCTAGTTTTCTGTTTTTCCCTCCCGACTCAGACCACTCACAGACAGTCCAAGCAAAGTTCTTGCTTGAGAAATTGCTTTTTGCCAAGAAACTATAATTGTTGGGGGGACCATTTGGTTTGAATACAATCACAGTAAGATACTTAATTATTACCCAGAAACTATTTAATATTGAGATAAAAACGGCTGCATTGGACCTTTAAAATGTAACTATGTACAATGCATGACATGTCTGTATACATAAATAAAGTTGCATACGTACGTCAAGCTCATTGGAAGGATGTGTGTAACAACAGGGTTGTCTCTCCACCAGATTACCATCATCTTTAAGAACTGGCGCCAGTGTATCGAGCAGCAGATCTACCAGGCGGAGCTGGACAACGTTCCCGCAGCCTTCGTGGACGGCTCAGTGACCAGCGGGGAGAGGCAGGGCCAGCACAGCCTGAGTGTCCACTCTGATCTGCCTGGGCGCCAGGCTGAGATCCGTGCCGCCCACATCGGCACCACCCTGGTGGTACGTCAAAGCGGGCGTTCCCTGGGCTTGTCAGTACGCTCGCCACGCGCCATTGCTGAAGCGTTCACCCCCGAGCAGGACCTGCAGCTGTGTGTGTATGGCTGCCCACCTTCACAACGCCTGGAGACGCTACCCAGCCCCTCTTCCTCCTCCCTCTCCTCCTCCTCTTCCTCCAGCCAGCCATCTGCTGCAGCCCATGCCCACTGTGCAGCCCTCCTCCCAGCCAGGGACATCTACTACCAGGCCTGCCTGTTTGACCTGCTGGCCACAGGGGACCTCAACTCCAGCACGGCGGCCGTGGCGGCCCTGGAGGACGCCCGGGGAATGATCTCAGACCCCAATAAGGTGCACCTGCTACTGGTGGGCAAGGCCGATAGGAGTAGCCCGTGTCTGCCTCTGATCCTGGCTGTGGCCGTCCTATCGGAGCGTCTGGTGGCTCTGTGGACGGGGCAGTGTTTATGAACTAGTGACTGGTAGGAGCTGTGAGCATTAGCCACACTGATTCTGACCGAGCAGATATTCTTTCTTCATACTTGATTGGCTTGTTTCACAAACAACAAGCATCACCTTTGACTGGTTGGAACCCTGTGGCATTGTGACTGGTTCCTCATTCATTTTCTTCCAGCAGGAGAAGCCAATGTTGATGGGAATAAATATAGGTGAATGCTTTCAGTGAGGATAGAAGTGAACTCTTGAAGCCTGACACTAGTTGTGTTGATTCTAATCCCTTTACTATGCTGAACCAAATGTATTAAAACAGGATGTATTTTCCCTCTCAGCACAGAGGATGGCATTCTGCGGCCTGTTGCATAATTCCACAAATCCAGACAGTAAATGTATCACTTTCTGTTATTTTCTGTTTATTTTATCATGGAGGGAATTTAGTGGTTTATATATAGTAAATATAATACTGCAGTGGTATCATCCTCCGTAAAGAAACTAATTTATCACTAATTTATTACATCATCTTTGTGTGTCTACATTTCGTATGCAGTGAGTTGTAATAATGTCTCGATTAATTTAAAAAGGGACTGTTTTTGAATGTACGTTTGGTTCATATGTCAGTATTTGTAAGACAATGTTTACAATGTATTGTTCATCCTGTTCATATTTTTACGTAGTTGCCAAAGTTAAAAATATAGCTTCTCAAAGTTACTCACACCATCTTTCGAAAACAATAGAGGTCATGCAAGGAGTAAATGAAAATAATATATTGTTTTCCAAATGATGGAAAATATCTCATGTTGCCTTCCATGTAATACTGTGATCTCTGACAAGGATAAAACATATTTATACTGACAGATTCTAATATATTTCCCTTTGTGAGTTTTATTAAATTTGATTGTTTTCTCTCCAGACCCGAAAATGGTCTGTATAATGTCCTGAGTGTGTATTTTTAATGAGCAACCCTGACTGGGGTTTTGTGAACCTTGAAATGTCCAATACAACAGCAGTATTCCTCTGGAGGGGCTACTGAGGCAGCATTTGGGTGAGTTGAGTTCTCCTTCACTGTGACTGGCAGCTCTCTTCTGCTCTCTGATGTCAGATGCCTTCTCTGGTTTACATTTTTACATTTTAGTCATTTAGCAGACGCTCTTATCCAGAGCGACTTACAGTTAGTGAGTGCATACATTTTCATACTGGTCCCCCGTGGGAATCGAACCCACAACCCTGGCGTTGCAAGCGCCATGTTCTACCAACTGAGCTACACAGGGACTACTGTGCAGCATTCCTGTTGCTACTTCTGTGATAGCTGGAATGAGTCCATTCTAGACCCACCTTAGCTTCTCCGATGGAACAGGTCAATGTAGAAAGTGATAGGAGGGGGGTTTGGGGTGGGAGGGGCGATGGGGGTTGTTCAAAAAGGGGGGAAATGGTATTGTTTTTTTATTTATTGTATTCATTTTGATGTGATTCAATAAAAACAAAAATGATTCAATAAAAACAATTGTTCACAATAAAAATATAGTGATAGTAGACAGCGAGGAACCACACCTTAATACAGTAAACAATATTAGAAAATGTGGACTTGGAAATTAAGGACACTTTATTTCAATAATCTTTCAGTATTCTTCAGTACAAAAACAAAACACAAATCAAATTTGTGACAAGAATCCTTCATATTTATATACTGTGAATGACTAGAAGTGAAGTAAATTGAAATTAAGTTTGAACCTTACTCCCTAAGGGCTCTATTCAGTCAAATCCACTTTAGCCGACATCTGCATAGCGGTTGTTTTGGCGGTGTCAGAGTGGAACTGGGTTATAGCTGTCAAATCCACAAGCGGCTCCTGGCATTATACCTAAAGTGGATGCATCGCAGTGCTAGCTGTGCCACTAGAGATCCTGGTTCGAATCCAGGCTCTGTCGTAGCCGGCCGCGACCGGGAGACCCATGGGGCGGCGCACAATTGGCCCAGCGTCGTCCAGGGTAGGGGAGGGAATGGCCAGCAGGGATGTAGCTCAGTTGGTAGAGCATGGCGTTTGCAACGCCAGGGTTGTGGGTTCGATTCCCACGGGGGGCCAGTATGAAAAATTAAAAATTAATAATGTATGCACTCACTAACTGTAAGTCGCTCTGGATAAGAGCGTCTGCTAAATGACTAAAATGTAAATGTAACATTGCCATTGGCTGCACAGAGTCGCATTAAGAGAAATCCCATGTAGCCTTGTTTACAAGTTAGAACACTGGAATGTGAGATGTAATCTTCACCTCGATTAGGCTGTTCAAAATCCTCATTATTTAGTTTAATGATTTTCAATTTGAGCGTCATTATTTCTATATAGCCTACACTTTCTCGTTCTGAAAGTGCCTCCCTCAGCCTCTTTTTGGCTCAAAGATTTGATGCCGTTTCTAAAATTAGAAAAAATTAGACCATTCAAGGGTCAACCAACTCATTTTATTACACCCGGGACCCAATGATATCCTATTAGTACTCTTGGACCCACCCCCAGCCCTTGAGGTTACTGCTATATAGACCTATAGGATCACCTTCCTCCAGATGAGTACTCTTGGCTCCACCCCCACCCCTTGAAGTTACTGCTATATAGACCTATAAGATCACCTTCCTCCAGATAGTGCTCTTGGCCTCACCCCCAGCCCTTGAGGTTACTGCTATATAGACCTAGAGGATCACCTTCCTCCAGATTAGTGCTCTTGGCCCCACCCCCAGCCCTTGAGGTTACTGCTATATAGACCTAAAGGATCACCTTTCTCCAGATTAGTGCTCTTGGCCTCACCCCCAGCCCTTGAGGTTACTGCTATATAGACCTAGATCACCTAATCACCTGAAATTGTTAGGCTTTTACGTTTTTGCTTTGTATTGAAGTAACATTATGTTGTATACTTTTGTGTTTTGTTTTCTGATACGGGGGTCGAGGAGGGACAAAAAGGGGAAAAACGTACAATGTCTATGTTTGATCTTATATTCTCTCTCTCTCTCTCTCTCTCTCTCTCTCTCTCTCTCTCTCTCTCTCTCTATATATATATATATATATACTACCGTTCAAAAGTTTGGGGTCACTTAGAAATGTCCTTGTTTTCAAAAGAAAAGCAATTTTTCTGGCCATTAAAATAACATCAAATTGATCAGAAATACAGTGTAGACATTGTTAATGTTGTAAATGGCTATTGTAGCTGGAAACGGCAGATTTTTAATGGAATATCTACATAGGCGTACAGAGGCCCATTATCAGCAACCGTCAGTCCTGTGTTCCAATGGCACGTTGTGTTTGCTAATCCAAGTTCATCATTTTAAAAGGCCTCTTCACTGTTGACGTTGAGACTGGTGTTTTGCGGGTACTATTTAATGAAGTTGCCAGTTGAGGACCTGTTAGGCGCCTGTTTCACAAACTAGACACTCTAATGTATTTGTCCTCTTGCTCAGTTGTGCACCGGGGCCTCCCACTCCTCTTTATATTCTGGTTAGAGCCAGTTTGCGCTGTTCTGTGAAGGGAGTAGTACACAGCGTTGTACGAGATCTTCAGTTTCTTGGCAATTTCTCGCATGGAATAGCCTTCATTTCTCAGAACAAGAATAGACTGACAAGTTTCAGAAGAAAGTTTTTTGTTTCTGGCCATTTTGAGCCTGTAATCAAACCCACAAATGCTGATGCTCCAGATACTCAACTAGTCTCAAGAAGGCCAGTTTTATTGCTTCTTTAATCAGCACAACAGTTTTCAGCTGTGCTAACATAATTGCAAAAGGGTTTTCTAATGATCAATTAGACTTTTAAAATGATAAACTTGGATTAGCAAACACAACGTGCCATTGGAACACAGGACTGATGGTTGCTGATAATGGGCCTCTGTACGCCTATATAGATATTCCATTAAAAATCAGCCGTTTCCAGCTACAATAGCCATTTACAACATTAACAATGTCTACCCTGTATTTCTGATCAATTTGATGTTATGTTAACAAGGACATTTCTAAGTGACCCCAAACTTTTGAACGGTAGTGTATAGATATAAAACATCAGCTATGCGGGTGTCGGCTAGAGCTGATTAACAATGGGTCTGATTGAATCTAGGCCTAAACCTCTCACATTGGATAATTATGTTGTAATGTTAAGGCAGTTCCGTACTCTTTTTAAACAGATAGGGTTAAGGGTGGACCCCTTATAAACACTTCTCTCTTTCAACACTTATATACTAATATACCAACAAAAACACTCACATACACAATAGTATACTAACTAAACAATATACACAAATAATTTGAACATCAAGTTCTAATAAAATAATACCAGTGTAAACACGCTTCAGTATCACACAGAATGTCCCAATATTGCACATACACCATCCATAGATATATACAGCCCCCTGTGTGTGTGTGTGTGTTTGCATGCGTGCATGTGAGTGAATGATCAATATAACCATGATGGAATGTATTTAACAGTGAAAGCATGCGACACAAAGTCACTGACGTCAGATGGTTAACTCCATTTGAAGTAAGCCAGGCTGGTTAACTCATTAGAATTATCCAACCATACAGATCCCCGAGTACTCTAACCCACAGAGGCAAGCGGTGCATAGAAACATATTCAACTACAAGCCGGGTTAGAACCCAGAGTCCATTCTACTTGTCCATGATTGTCTTGAGGCCTCATATACATCAAAGTGGTTGTGTCTGCTTAAATAGTGTTTATGTGTGTAGTTACGTCTGTATGTGTTCTTCCCAGCCTTTGGAATGTGAGTTTGCAGTTCACTCACTGATGTCAGATCAGCTCTAAAGGGGGTAAAGAGCCTTTGGTCTGTGAGTTTGCAATCCACTCACTGATGTCAGATCAGCTCTAAAGGGGGGAAAGAGCCTTTGGTCTGTGAGTTTGCAGTCCGCTCACTGATGTCAGATCAGCTCTAAAGGGGGTAAAGAGCCTTTGGTCTGTGAGTTTGCAATCCACTCACTGATGTCAGATCAGCTTTAAAGGGGGTAAAGAGCCTTTGGTCTGTAAATTTGCAGCCTGCCTGCAGATCTCATTTCAGTTTAATTAATTTAAGTCACTCAGGATGTGGAACTGCTCCCAAACAGCTTCCTCGAATCAGGAACCGATCTCCATGGCGCCAGTGGGCGTTCTTAGGCGTCTGCTGATTGGTCAGAAGTCAACTGCTCACGGTCCGACACGTCATCCGCTGGCGGCCGTGCCCGGTCAAAGAACCCACACTGAGGAAGAGAGGGTTAAGTTATACTAAAGTCCTTGTGTGTGTGTATATGTGTGTGTGTGTGTATATATGTGTGTGTGTGTATATTTGTGTGAGTGTATATGTGTGTGTGTGTGTGTACCTTCCACATGGCCAGTGTTAGCATGGCCAGGACCAGCAGTCCCAGTAGGATGGCCAGGATGATGACCCATAGAGGAACAGCAAACGCCACATCAGGAGTCCCCCACAGCACCAATGTACCCATCTACAACACACGCACAATCAGTTAGTTACAGGCTGGGTGGGGTTCAGGGTAAGAGTTATTGTAGGTGTTAGTTAGGGTTGATGTCACATCTTACTGAAGTGGTGTGTTGCGGTAAGGAGGAGGGCTGGAGGTGGTAGGGCAGGGTACACTCTTAGAATCAGTGGTGACTCTAGGAACCCTGGAGTTCCTTGAGGAACCATTGATAGTCAGTGGTACATATTTGCACCTTTAGTTAGTAGAGGGGTTCTTGTACGAACCTTTAATGTTTCAATGGAGGCGTGGCTTAGTAGGGGCTAGGCTTTCAGATAGATATGTTTAGGCCACCCGTGGGGGTAAACGTAATTCCTGTTCATCTGTTCTGTTGTATTGTCATCACAAGTTAAGGTTGAACACTGACAGTTTTGTAGCTTACAGAGGTGTATGAGTTCCTCAAGAGCCTATGCAAATCCCAACGTTGGAATAGTTACCACTTTATTACTATATGTAATCAGCAATGTTAGTATCTTACTGAAGTGGTGTGTTGGGGTGAGGAGGAGGACTGGAGGCGGTAGGGCAGGGTTTGGGTTAGTGTTAGGGGTATCTTACTGAAGTGGTGTGTTGGGGTAAGGAGGAGGACTGGAGGCGGGAGGCGGTAGGGCAGGGTTTGGGTTAGTGTTAGGGGTATCTTACTGAAGTGGTGTGTTGGGGTAAGGAGGAGGGCTGGAGGCGGTAGGGCAGTGCTGTCACTCTGAAGGACACGGTGGAGTTGAGGAGGTATGGGTCGTTACGTCTCTGCAAGGTGTATATATGTTATAGATACATTATTTCTTAATACTAATGATAACATTAATACATACAATAATACTAATACTAGCAGTAGCACATCAGTTTGGGTTTATGTTTGTGTGCTCACCTGGAGGAAGGTGTGAGCCCAGAGTCGGGAGCGGATCTTGACTACAGCGCTCTGACCACGGTCCAACCGCCCAACCACACACAGCACTCTTAGACAAATGATGTTACTGCAGTTCTACAGAGACAGGGAGAGACAGAGAGAGATAGTTCATATACATTCCAAGACTGCTGCTGTATAGTAATACCAAACAAGCTGACAGTGAAATCGAAGGCTGCTGATAATGAAGGGCACATATTGTAAGTACCAGGGTCTTGCTGCTGTAGGGCTGGGCAACGCTGGTGGCTCGTCTGTAGCGGTGAGGAGAGCTACTGTTCCTCAGAAAGCCCAACAATTCTGGAGTGTCCTGGACAGAGGAGGTCTGATAGATAGAGAGAGAGAGAGAGAGAGAGAGAGAGAGAGAGAGAGAGAGAGAGAGAGAGAGAGAGAGAGAGAGAGAGAGAGAGAGAGAGAGAGAGAGAGAGAGAGAGAGAGAGAGAGAGAGAGAGGCGAGAAAATTAAGTCACCGTATTACATACCACTTATAAGACCGACCAACCGTCCAAACACAAAACACCACAGGTACACACATACAGTGCCTTGTTAAGTATTCATACCCATTTAACTTATTATGTGATTTCTTAAGCCAAATTTTACTCCTAAACTAATTTAGGCTTGCCTAAACAAAGTGGCTGTATACTTATGCAACGACTATGTTAGTCATCTAATTTGTATTAATAATTTTTTTTAAACTTTTAAAAAAAAAACAGTATTTTGTGTAGATTGTTGACAAAAAAATAACAATGAAATCCATTTGAATCCCACTTTGTAACACAATGAAATATGAAGAAGTCCAAGGGGTATGAATACTTTTGCAAGGCACACATAGGCCTACACATTGTAATTGACACACTGTCTAGTAGCCTGATCAGCAACCTTGTTAGTTTTCTACATTGTGGAAAAAGAAGAGACTAAACAACCCAGTGTTTCAGGGTCCCTCTGGTTCTCTTACTGTTTGATCAGATGTCATTGGTGCTATTTTTACATCCACCACGTGTTGATTTCTCACGTAGTGGGCTAGTTCTTGTTGACGCGTGTCTATAAAGATTCCCCATTCTGCTTTTTCCCTTTCTTTTTGCTGGTACTGAGACTCATTACTATTGAACTGAGGCATCATTCAAAATGAGGGGTGTCATAGCTATGCTGGTGCTGATGTTATATCTGTCTGGGGCCTGGGCTGAGGGAGAGAGTAAAGGAAGGATTGATCAGATTGACCAGAACATTCTATTCACTACCATAGATGCTGTCTGGGATGAGCTGAGACTCATGCTGAACAACACAAAGACACAAGTAGAGAAGTTGGAGAAGAAGAATGCAGGTACTGTAATAATGCACATATAGACAGAGAAAAAACAAAGGTAGCCTACTGTAATAACACAGGTAATGAAACCGATCACATTGTGAAAATAAGTAGTGCTTGTTTAAATCTCATTCTGTATTGATTGATAAGTTTGGCCATTTATGTTCATGCTATTTCAGTCCTGGGGGACAGGGTGGTCAAGCTGAAGACAAAGAACACATATAATCATCATTAGATGTCATTTCTTAAATGGATTTAGATAATAAGTCACTCAATAGAAAAGTCAGCTGCTGATATTGATGATACATACATAGGCTACAGTATATCGTTATCATTAAAGCTCAAGCAGCAGAACTGACAGACCTACAGTGAGGGAAAAAAGTATTTGATCCCCTGCTGATTTTGTACATTTTTACATTACACATTACATTTTACTCATTTAGCAGACGCTCTTATCCAGAGCGACTTACATGAGCAATTAGGGTTAAGTACCTTGCTCAAGGGTACATCGACAGATTTTTCACCTAGTCGGCCAGGGGATTAGAACCAGCGACCTTTCGGTTACTGGCACAACGCTCTTAACCACTAAGCTACCTGCCGCCCTGTACGTTTGTACGTTGTACGTTTGCCCACCGACAAAGAAATGATCAGTCTATAATTTTAAGGGTAGGTTTATTTGAACAGTGAGAGACAGAATAACAACAAAAAAATCCAGAAAAACGCATGTCAAAAATGTTATAAATTGATTTGCATTTTAATGAGGGAAATAAGTATTTGACCCCCTCTCAATCAGAAAGATTTCTGGCTCCCAGGTGTCTTTTATACAGGTAACGAGCTGAGATTAGGGAGTGCTCCTAATCTCAGTTTGTTACCTGTATAAAAGACACCTGTCCACAGAAGCAATCAATCAATCAGATTCCAAACTCTCCACCATGGCCAAGACCAAAGAGCTCTCCAAGGATGTCAGGGACAAGATTGTAGACCTACACAAGGCTGGAATGGGCTACAAGACCATCGCCAAGCAGCTTGGTGAGAAGGTGACAACAGTTGGTGCGATTATTTGCAAATGGAAGAAACACAAAAGAACTGTCAATCTCCCTCGGCCTGGGGCTCCATGCAAGATCTCACCTTGTGGAGTTGCAATGATCATGAGAACGGTGAGGAATCAGCCCAGAATTACACGGGAGGATCTTGTCAATGATCTCAAGGCAGCTGGGACCATAGTCACCAAGAAAACAATTGGTAACACACTACGCCGTGAAGGACTGAAATCCTGCAGCGCCCGCAAGGTCCCCCTGCTCAAGAAAGCACATATACAGGCCCGTCTGAAGTTTGCCAATGAACATCTGAATGATTCAGAGGAGAACTGGGTGAAAGTGTTGTAGTCAGATGAGACCAAAATCGAGCTCTTTGGCATCAACTCAACTCGCCGTGTTTGGAGGAGGAGGAATGCTGCCTATGACCCCAAGAACACCATCCCCACCGTCAAACATAGAGGTGGAAACATTATGCTTTGGGGGTGTTTTTCTGCTAAGGGGACAGGACAACTTCACCGCATCAAAGGGACGATGGACGGGGCCATGTACCGTCAAATTTTGGGTGAGAACCTCCTTCCCTCAGCCAGGGCATTGAAAATGGGTCGTGGATGGGTATTCCAGCATGACAATGACCCAAAACACACGGCCAAGGCAACAAAGGAGTGGCTCAAGAAGAAGCACATTAAGGTCCTGGAGTGGCCTAGCCAGTCTCCAGACCTTAATCCCATAGAAAATCTGTGGAGGGAGCTGAAGGTTTGAGTTGCCAAACGTCAGCCTCGAAACCTTAATGACTTGGAGAAGATCTGCAAAGAGGAGTGGAACAAAATCCCTCCTGAGATGTGTGCAAAACTGGTGGCCAACTACAAGAAACGTCTGACCTCTGTGATTGCCAACAAGGGTTTTGCCACCAAGTACTAAGTCATGTTTTGCAGAGGGGTCAAATACTTATTTCCCTAATTAAAATGCAAATCAATTTATAACATTTTTGACATGCGTTTTTCTTGATTTTTGTTTTGTTATTCTGTCTCTCACTGTTCAAATAAACCTACCATTAAAATTATAGACTGATCATGTCTTTGTCAGTGGGCAAATGTACAAAATCAACAGGGGATCAAATACTTTTTTCCCTCACTGTAGATGACAGACTGAGTGCCAATGTAATACTGACGTTCGATTTACAGATCTAGAACCAAGGTAATAACAAAATGCTAATTTTACAGAATACGATTTAGTTAATTAGCTCAATCATAAATGTACAGCTGTGGATTTTGCTGGACATCTTATGATAATGTCCAAGACAAATGTCCTTATGATTTCAGCCCAGAGTTACCGCAAAGGGATTGCTTAATACAGGGGTTCCCATCTTTCTTTAAAGGTAGACTTTATAAGAACTACTGTGCCTCAGATGAGCATAGCTAATTTCAGGGAGAAATAAATAAAGCATTGTTTTAGCTAGATCTCAGCTACATATTTTCATGCTATTTCAGCCCTGGAAAACAGAGTGACAGACAGTGAGAGCCAGGTGGATGAACTGAAGAGACAGAATGCAGGTAATAATGAGGTGTGAATTGTGATGAAAAATATTTGATTCATAAATAATTCACTAGAAAGATTTAAAAAGCTATATGTCACATTGTGGTTAAAAAATATATGCTTGTCTCTTCACTCTCTCCCAATTCGCCAGTGGATACAATTACGACTAGAAGTTATAACATGAGAATTATCGACAACGAAAATGAATGGTGCTATATAAGTGCCTTCAGAAAGTATTCATACCCCTTGACTTAGTCCACATTTTGTTGTGTTAAAGCCTGAATTCAAAATGGATAAAATATTTTTTCCCCTCACCCATCTACACACAATACCCCATAATGACATTAGACATTTTAGCTAATTTATTGAAATTGAAATACAGAAATATGTAATTTACATAAGTATTCACACCCATGAGTCAATACTTTGTAGAAGCACCTTTGGCAGTGATTACAGCTGTGAGTCTTTTTGGGTAAGTCTCTAAGAGCTTTGCACACCTGGATTGTACAATATTTGCACATTATAATTTGTTTAATTCGTCAAGCTCTGTCAAGTTGATTGTTGATCATAGCTAGACAGCCATTTTCAAGTCTTGCCATAGATTTTCAAACTGATTTAAGTCAAAACTGTAACTAGACATTCAATGTCGTCTTGGTAAGCAACTACAGTGTAGATTTGTATCCAGGACAAAATGTTAATTTCTTTGCCATATTCTTTGCAGTATTACTTAAGTGCCTTGTTGCAAAAAGGGTGCAGGTTTAGGAATTCTGCACAGGCTATTCTGCACAGGCTTCCTTCTTTTCACTCTGTCATTTAGCTTAGTATTGTGGAGGAACTACAATGTTGTTGATCCATCTTCAGTTTTCTCATATCACAACCATTAAACTCTGTAACTGTTTTACAATCATCATTGGCCCTGAGGGGTTTCCTTCCTCTCCTGCAACTGAGTTAAGAAGGACGCCTGTATCTTTGTAGTGACTGGATGTATTGATACACCACCCAAAGCCTAATTAATAACTTCACCATGCTCAAAGGGATATTCAGTCTGCTTTTCTTATTTTTACACATCTACCAATCGGTGCCCTTCTCTGCGAGGCATTGAACAACCTCCCTGGTCTTTGTGGTTGAATCTGTGCTTGAAATTCATTACTCGATTGAGGGATAATTGTATGTGTGCTGGGGGGGGGGGTTGGGAAGGGGTGGGAAACATGGGGGTAGGGTGGGTTGTATGGAGACATGTTGGCTGGGGGAATGGGATGGGAAGTTGGGGAGGCCTATTTCTTTTTTCTTTTCCTGTTTATACTGAATTTACTATTTATTGTTAAACTCTGTATGTATTTCTTACTGTTTTTGTTGTTGTTGAGTCGCAGCCTACGGGTACAAGTTTTATAAACGTATAATTTGAAATAAAAAACTACAAATATATAATTTGGTCACAAAAACAGTAATGGTTGATACGTTCAGCAATGTTTATTTTCATGCTATTTCAGCCCTGGAGGCCAGAGTGACAGCCAGTGAGAGCCAGGTGGACGAAGTGAAGAAAGAGAATGCAGGTAAAATATCAACTTCACCCTCATGTATTCTGACAGTAAATAACACTTGGAACTAATACAGCATTCTACATTTTCCAACTCTATAATTTTAGTCTTGGAGGCCAGAGTGGCAGAACTGAAGAAAGGGAATGCAGGCATAGTAAGATAAGCTACGTATATTGTGCAAGCGTGTGTTTTTCTGTTAATTTACTGTTAATTACTTTCATACTACTTCAGCCCTGGAGGCCAGAGTGACAGCCAATGAGAGCCAACTGAAGGATCTGAAGGGAAAGAATGCAGCTGCCTACTACATACTGTATATTCTTCACCTGAACATGATTCAGCTCATTTCAGGATGTGAAAAGCAAAGTCATGTAACAAAGCTATATCAGGGTTTATTGTTTTTATCATTAAACAATTATAGCCCTGGAGGCCAGAGTGACAGCCAGTGAGAGCCAGGTGGAAGACATGAATAAACAGAATGCAGGTAATAACGAGATGTGTTTTGAAAATAATATTGAGTTCATTTTCTCAATAGAAACAGCTCTGAATATTGCATATCATCTACTATATTTATATAATTTACTTATAAGAACTACTATGTATAGGTCTCACTTTAACATGATTCAGCTTATTTCAGGATATGATAAAGCTACATCTTGGTTGAACCTTTTTTGATCATAAATGATGTTCCTGCATAAATTATTTTCTAGCCCTAGAGGCCAGATTGACAGCCATTGAGAGCCAGGTGGCAGAGCTGGAGAAAAATAATGCAGGTAATGATGACATGTGAATTGAAAATAATTCAGTGAACAATTAATTGCCTAGAAAGATGAACAACTTTGGATATTGACTCATATGATCCCAGACCAAGCAGCAGAATTGTTATCCTTCGGTAGCTTAGTGACAACCCTTCAGAGCCAGGTGGCAGAACTGAAGAAAGACAATGCAGGTAATAACAAGAAGTGTTTTGAAAAACTATTGAGTTAATAATTTACTCAATAGAAAAAATCACAGCTCTGGATATTGTCTATTGCCTCTCTACAATATTTATATAATTTCAGCCCAAGCAGCAGAACTGTCAGACTTGAAGAACAGAGTGACAACCAGTGAGCGTCAGGTAGCTGAACTGAAGAAAGAAAATGCAGGTAAGATATTTTGTGCAAAAGTGTGTGTTTACTAACAATGTTTACTTTTAATTATTTTTTACTATTTCAGCCCTGGACACCAGAGTGACGGCCAGCGACAGGCAGGTGGCAGAACTGAAGAAAGAGAATGCAGGTGACTAAAATGTTTCACTTATAAGAACGACTACATGTATTCCTCACCTGAACATAATAACATTCAGCTCATTTCAAGAAATGAGAAACCAAAGCGATGTAAGAAAGCTACATAATGGTTTATAATTTTCATCATAAATAATTTTCTTGCATAAATGATCTTATAGCCCTGGAGGCCAGAGTGACAGCCAGTGAGAGCCAGGTGGCAGAGCTGATGGGAAAGAATGCAGGTGACTAAAATGTTTTACTTATAAGAGCTACTACATGTATGCCTGAACATGATTCAGCTAATGTTAGGATGTGATAAAGCAAAGTGATGTAACAAAGCTACATCACAGTTGATAGTTTTCTTGCATGCATTATTTTCTAGCCCTGGAGGCTAGAGTGACAGCCAGTGAGAGTCATGTGGCAGAACTGAAAGGAACGAACACAGGTGACTATATGTCTTTACTTATAAGAACTACTATGTATAGGTCTCACTTTAACATGATTCAGCTTATTTCAGGATATGATAAAGCTACATCATTGTTGATCATTTTCATCCTAAATTATTTTCTTGCATAAATTATCTTCTAGCCCTGGAGGCCAGAGTGACAGCCAGTGAGAGCCAGGTGGAAGAGCAGGTAATGATGATAAGCAATTTGAAAAAGATTGACAGACAATTTGAAAAAGATTGAGTTAAATTAGTCACTAGAAAGATTAACATTTCTGGAAATGCACTTGTGTTAGCCTTGAGGAACAGAGTGACAGCCAGTGAGAGCAAGCTGGAGGAACTGAAGAAAGAGAATGGATGTAATAATGAACTTTGAAAAAGTAAATCATTTGTTCAATAGAAAAATGAATTGCTCTGGATATTGTCTATTGCCTCTCTGCAACATTTCTATAATTCCAGCCCAAGCAGCAGAACTGTCAGACTTGGGGACCAGAGTGACAACCAGTGAGAGCCAGGTGGTAGAGCTGAAGAAAGATAATGCAGGTAATAAGTTGTCAATTGTTATGAAAAAGATGAACACCTCTGGATATTGACGTGCACGATTTCAGCCCAAGCAGCAGAACTGTTAGCCTTGGGGAGAACCAGTGAGAGGCAAGTAACAGAGCTGGAGAAAGAGAATGCAGGTAACTATCCAGCACTAATAAGATCTAGGCCACAATCACTCTCCTGAACCACTGATTGATCTAATTGATCTAATCAGGATGTATCTAAGCACAGCAATGACAACAAAGCTACCTCAGAGTATCAGTTTATTAAGATATTATTTTCTTGCTATTTCAGCCCTGGAGGCAAGATTGAGTGTCACTGAGAGCCAGGTGGAGGAACTGAGGCTAGGTAAGAACAGATCAATTCAATCAACCCCCAAAGTGTGGTATGAAATGAAGACATTTTAGACATTACGGTGGGCTTGATTGAATTCATTCTCATGTGTTCGCAGACAGAAGAAAGGTGGCCTTTTCTGTTGGTTTGACTGACTCAGGATATGTGGGACCCTTTCAAACTGAGATCACTCTGGTCTATGAAAAAGTATTCACCAACATCGACAACGGTTACGACCCAAACTCAGGTACAGCTTACGGCAACAATACTACGGATGAAACGTACACAGTAACAATACTACAGGTTCACTCACACAGCAATACATCTACAACCCAGATAAATATATAAACATAAACTCACTATCTCCAGGCTGCTGAGGGGAGGATGGCTCATAATAATAAAATAATAATACAAATAATATGCTATTTAGCAGACGCTTTTATCCAAAGCGACTTACAGTCATGCGTGCATACATTTTTTGTGTATGGGTGGTCCCGGGGATCGAACCCACTACCTTGGCGTTACAAGCGCCGTGCTCTACCAGCTGAGCTACAGAATAATGTCTGGAATGGTATGAATGGAATGGTATCAAACACATGGAAACCATGTATTTGATGTGTTCGATACCATTCCATTAATTCCATTCCAGCCATTAGTATGAGCCCGTCCTCCCCAATTAAGGTGCCACCGGGCGCCTGTGGTGTCCACAGGGACCAGCTACAGGCACAGACCCCAACCACTAACAGGCTGCTCCAGTGTCTAAGAGAGACGGATAGTGCTGATCTCTCCCTGCTTCCCCTCTGATACAGGTATGTTCTCAGCACCAGTGAAAGGACTCTACAACTTCACATTCACCTCCATGGGCCGAGAGCCTGGACAGAAAATGGGTGTTTACTTGGTCAAAAATGGAGAGCAAATGATATACAACGTCCAGGACAACTTCCATGGAGGTTATGAGTACATAACAGGTGCCGTGGCTCTGGAGCTAGAGAAAGATGATCTGGTATACTTAAGGGTTCCTAAGGGCTGGGGGCTGTATGATGACAACTACAACCACATTGTCTTTACTGGCATCCTGCTCTTCACCACCAACCCTCCTATGGGCTACTCTAATAGTCCCTCTCCATCTTCCTACAGTCTTCAATAAACATGGAATGAGTAAAGTGACTTTGTCCTGTCATCATTAAAGCACATTCATCAGTCATCATCATAAACACAAACCAGACGGTAGATGACATCCTGTTACCCTATTTTATTATGAGAAGAAACGAGCTGCACCAATGCTAGATTGGGTCAGTACACTTTGATCTAACTGAGCTGTAATTTCACAAAAGCATTTATGCCATTGTTTCTAAAGCAATGGAAGACCAATACAGGCCAATAAATATATAACATTAGTGAGTGTATGAGTACGGTGTCCAGTGTCCAGTCTCAGCAGGAGGTGTGGTTGTGTTACCTGTAGGCCCAGGGGGTTGAGGCTGGTGTTGCTCCTGCAGCTGATTGGTCCGTCTGTTAGAACCTCCAGAGCGTAGAGCAGGTGTTCGTCACGGAAACGAGAGGGCCAGCCCACCTGGAGCTCCGCCTCCCGGATACTACTGGGACCTGAGTTATGGAGCTGAGACAGTAAGAGGGAGAGGAGAGAGAGGAGAGACAGAGAGATGAGAGGAAGAGAAAGAGGGGGTGAGTAGAGAGAGGAGAGGGAGAGAGAGAGGGAGAGAGAGAGGGGAGAGAGAGCGAGACAGAGAGAGAAAGAGAGAGAATGAGAACACCAAGCCACTTAGTTTAGCCCCTTTCCCTCCACACACTCATTAATTCTGAGGGTGGTGATGGTGAGTCACCCAAACAGGACATGGTCCCAGTGCTCCAGACAGGAATTCTCGGAGAGAGTAACTCTGGCGTCCCTAACTATAACCAGCTGGACAGACTGCAGGACAGGAGCACTGCAGCCCCAAACCCTGCAGACATCCAGCAGAGGTCCCCCTTCACTGCAGCTTCAACACACACACACACATACACACACACACACACACACACACACACACACACACACACACACACACACACACACACACACACACACACACACACACACACACGTATGTCTGATCCCCCCTCTTATCCCTCCACCCCCCTCTCTCTCTTCCTTTATGACAGTAATTACCATTACCACTGTGCAGGAGGCTTTGATCAGACACCCAGCGCTTACAGGGCTACTGCTTTTACTGTGTGTGCATGTACCTCGTAGATGTGTGTGACCTGGGGTCCTACGTCTTCCTCTTTGACCGGCTTTTCCTTGGGCTCCCAGTGAGGAAACGGAAGAACCACCTGAGAGGGATGACACACCCTGGAAAGGGAGAGAGATAGAGAGAGAGATGGGAGAGAGGAGGGGGAGAGAGAAAGAAAGAAAAAGAGGAGCGATAGAGAAAGAAAGAAAGAAAGAAAGAAAGTGAGAAGAGTGAGAGAGAGGGCGAACACCAAGCCACTCACCACTCTGCTGCCAAACACAACTTATCCAACGCCGGTTGGACCTTAACCTCCAGCCCTCCAGCCCCCCACACCCACAGCCCCCCACGGATCACTGTCTGTTTGTGTCTACAACTGCCTTAGACCCAGCCAAGTCACTCTGGGGTCCCAGGCTTTGAAGTATGTTTGTGTGTTTGGGGGGGGGGGGGGGAAGGGTTAGAATTAGCATTAGGGGTTAGGTTTAGGGTTAGGAGTTAGGGTAAGGTTTAGTTTTAGGGTTAGGGGTTAAGGTTAGCGTTAAGGTTAGGGTTAGGTTAAGGGTAAGGTAAAATAGGATTTTGAATGGGAATTAATGTTTTGTTCCCCACAAGGATAGTAAAACAAACATGTGTGTGTGTGTGTGTGTGTGTGTGTGTGTGCAAGCGTGTGTGTGTGTGACGAAGCATGTGTGCATGATTAGCTGAGATCTATTCATAGAAACATACACAGACACAACCACACTGAGCAACAGAAATACAGCAAACTAGATGAGTCTGTCTCACCTGTAGGACAACAACGTGCATCAAACACAGCAAAGATATTCTACTGTCACAGGGTTAGAGAAAAGATCAACCAGAACAGAGATGTGTCACTCACCCCCTCAGGTCTAGCTGAGCTCTGGCAGAGATGGAGAGAGACAGACTGACTGGGTTGCTCTTGGAGTTGTCTTTGTTTGAACTGTAATATAAGAGACACACATGAGTCAGTAAAGATGTTTGGATGTAGAGTCTGCACCATGGCCTGTTGATGTATGGTGTGTGTGCATGTGTGTGTGCGCGTGTGTGAGTAAATGAGTGAGTGAGCGTGTGTGTGTGGCGAGGTGAACAGTCAATGTTTTGTCTCGTCTGTTTTCCTCCGGTCGTCTGTCTCAATACTCTTTGTTTGGAAAAGCCACAGAAATCTGATAAAGGTTCCTTTTTTACAGTTATGTGTGTCACAGCTCTTCAGCAGTGTGTGTGTGTGTGTGTATTTGCGCGTGTGTATGTATTTGCATGTGTTTGCGTGTGTGTGTGTCACCTGTGGATCTGTAGGTCAAAGACAATGTGAGGACCGGCATCATCCAGCCTTTGGACAGCAAACCTTAAACCTACAGATACCTGGAGACAGACACAGTGAAACAAAGACAGACAAAGAGAGAGGGACAGAGACAGAGACACAGAGAGAGACGAATCAAAGTCTGTGTCAGTGACATCTGCAAGTGTTCAGTTAAAGCGAGCAGCCTTCTAACCCCCTGTACAGTCTCCCTTTGTTAAAACTAACCAGGACCTGGCCATGGTGTGTGTATCTGGGTTACGTATCTGTATTGTGTGTGTGTGTCAGTTGGAGGATCAGTACAGATCTGTGGGCTGAGACAGACCAGATCCCTTCCCCTCTAGTCTTTAGACCCCAGTTAAACCCCCCTCTACCCTCGCTTAACTCACACCATGTGGAGGGCTTAGTTCATTACCATGAGTATGATAATGGCTTCTTGCATTTGTGTGTGTGTGTGTGTGTGTGTAATAATGTTCTAATGAACAACAGGTCAGACACTAGTCAATGCCGGAAACTCTTAAACACTGGGCTAAAACTAGAAGGGAGAGGCCTGAGGGTGGAAACTCATTAGGTCTCCAAAGTCAAAGAGACTTTATTGCGCATCAGAGAGAGAAACAGTAAAACTCAACAGAGACGAAGAAAGACCAAATGGGTCTAAATCACTGAGGTCCCCAGGCTGAGAGAAAGAGAGAGAGACAGACAGAGTAACCCAAATGGGCTCCCGAGTGGCGCAGCGGTCTAAGGCACTGCATCTCAGTGCTTGAGGAGTCACTACAGACCCCCTGGTTCGATTCCAGGCTGTATCACAACCGGCTGTGATTGGGAGTCCCATAGGGCGGCGCACAATTGGCCCAGCGTCGTCCGGGTTTGGCCGGTGTAGGCCGTCATTGTAAATAAGAATTTGTTCTTAACTGACTTGCCTAGTTAAATAAAGATAAATAAATATATATATATATATCTCTCCCCAAATCTGGAAAACATTTATTTCCTGTCGCTTCTCTCCCATGTTCTGAACAGCCGCACCACCACTATAAAACTGTCTAATTTGGATCTACTGTAGAACCCACCATAGTACAGAGACAGCGCTTGTCAAGGAAATGATTGAATGCATCGACCAACCATCGACCGTGGCTCTGTGTCTGTTCTCGCATTCCTTGATGTAGAGCAGTGATTGACGGTGTCGACCAAACTAACAGACACGTATCAATTCGTTTTTTCTGGCCAGTGAGACCTCTGATTGCTCCAAGGCTATGTATGGTGTTCCACAGGGCTCTGTGCAGGGGCCGTTTCTGTTCACATTATACATGCTGACCGTCTGGCAGAGGTGGCACCACAGGGCCCAGAGTGGTGTGGCGGAAAAAAAAAAAAAAACAACATTCTGGGGCCCGTCGTTTTTCCTGATATGGTAACCTAACCAGGTAAAACTCCGAACCTTATACGGTATGATGTGATTAATCTGTTTAATATGGCCTATGATGGGACCAGAGTTTTTCTAATCAGGTCATATGGTTTTTAAAAACTCCTGGCCTTGGGGAGGATGAAAACCCTGTCAAACTGCAGCAACCTTGTACTTGTTCATATGAATTAAACTCACAGGGCTGAGCTTGCTTTATGCAGGTTTGCATCATGTCGTCCTGCTCTATGCAACTGTAATACTAATAAAACATTTACTCACAGTCAATGACAGCTATTGTGTTTATTGATCAATTACAGTCAATAATTTTGGATTGAAAAAGTCTAGATAGCTTAGTCAGCCCAAGTTTGAATATATACCAAATTTGATCCCATTCACATTTTCTCACAAACAAATGGGCTATAAAAACACAACGTTACCGCTTCGTTTACCCTGGCCAGAGGAACAGAGCGCATAGTAGGCTAGATTATGCAGCTGCTGTTGTTAGTAGCCTACAGTTGATCAGACTGAAAAATAGTCTCGTTTTTCATGCAACACATCATGTCAGATCGCTAATGTTTAGGTGTAAAGGCTGCTACATTTATGTAAGAGTTTTTGCTTGTGTCTGTCGGGAGTGATGTGTTATCACGCTTGCTAAATAAATACCGGAGGAAAGTAGAGACCGCCTTGAGCTTTGTGCCCGGCCCGCCTGACCTGTGTTTTCCATTAATCTGATTGGTCAAGACACGCAAAGAGCCTGTAGCAGCACTCTGATGTGAAAGATTGAGAAATTGTACGCGAGTTCACAAATCATGAGGAAAGTCAGTCTAAAAACAGCACTTTGCCCCTCTTTCTAACGCTTTGCGTAGATGTATTTTATTAAACTAAAATCAAAAGTGGTGGGGTGGGGTGGTGTTGTGGTGTGTGTGTGTGTGTGGTGTGTATTTGCGCTGTTATGATTTGCATGTGTTCGTTGTGTGTACACCTGGTCTGAGGTCAAAGACAATGTGAGGACCGGCATCTCCGCCTTGGACACAAACCTTAACCTACGATCGGGAAAAGAACCAATGAACAAGCAGACAAGAGAGGGACAGAGACAGAAGAGAGGAACAGAGAGACAAGAAGAGGACAAGCCCATAGACACAGAGAAGAGGGCAAGAGCAAAGGAGAGGACGAGACAGAGACACAAGAGAGACATCAAAGTCTGTGTCATGACACTGCAAGGTTCAGTTAAAGGAGCCCTCTAACCCCTGTACTCCCCCTTTGTTAAAACTACCAGGACTGGCCTGGGTGTATTGGTTACGTATCTGTTTGGGGTTGTGTGTCAGTTGGATGATCGTACAGATCTGGCTGAGCAGACCGATCCCTTCCCCCTAGTCTTAGACCCATTAAACCTCCCTACCTCGCTTAACACTCACACCATGTGGAGGGCTTAGGTTCATTACCATGGAATATGATGAATGGCTTCTTGCGTTTGTGTGTGCTGTGTGTGTGTGTTGTGTGTGTTGTGTGTGTGTGTGTGTGTGTTTGTGTGGTGTGTGTTGTGTGTGTGTGTGTGTGTGTGTAATAATGTTCTAATGAACAACAGGTCAGACACTAGTCAATGCCGGAAAACTCTTAAAAACACTCGCTAAAACTACAAGGGAGAGGCCTGAGGGTGGAAACTCATTAGGTCTCCAAAGTCAAAGAGACTTTATTGCGCATCAGAGAGAGAAACAGTAAAACTCAAAAGAGACGAAGAAAGACCAAATGGGTCTAAATCACTGAGGTCCCCAGGCTGAGAGAGAAAGAGAGAGAGACAGACAGAGTGACTCAAATGGGCTCCAGAGTGGCGCAGCGGTCTAAGGCACTGCATCTCAGTGCTTGAGGAGTCACTACAGACCCCCTGGTTCGATTCCAGGCTGTATCACAACCGGCCGTGATTGGGAGTCCCATAGGGCGGCGCACAATTCGCCCAGCGTCGTCCGGGTTTGACCGGTGTAGGCCGTCATTGTAAATAAGAATTTGTTCTTAACTGACTTGCCTAGTTAAATAAAGATTTAAAAAAAAAATATATATATATATATATATATATATCTCTCTCCCCAAATCTGGAAAACATTTATTTCCTGTCGCTTCTCTCCCATGTTCTGAACAGCCGCACCACCACTATAAAACTGTCTAATTTGGATCTACTGTAGAACCCACCATAGTACAGAGACAGCGCTTGTCAAGGAAATGATCGAATGCATCGACCAACCATCGACAGTGTGTGTTCTCGCATTCCTTGATGTAAGAGCAGTGATTGAAGGTGTCGACCAAACTAACAGACCGGTATCAATGAGTTTTTCCGGCCAGTGAGACCTCTGATTGCTCCAAGGCTATATATGGTGTTCCACAGGGCTCTGTGCAGGGGACGTTTCTGTTCACATTATACATGCTGACCGTCTGACTGAGGTGGCACCACAGGGCCCAGATTGGTGTGGCGTAAAAAACAATTCTGGGGCCCGTCGTTTTTTCCTGATATGCTAACCTAACCAGGTAAAACTCCGGACCTTATACGGTATGATGTGATTAATCTGTTTAATATGGGCTATGATGGGACCAAAGTTTTTCTAATCAGGTCACATGGTTTAAAAAAACTCCTGGCCTTGGGGAGGATGAAACCCTGTCAAACTGCAGCAACCTTGTACTTCATATTAATTAAACTCAAAGTGCTGAGCTTGCTTTATGCAGGTTTGCATCATGTAGTCCTGCTCTATGCAACTGTAATACTAATAAAAAATTAACTCACATGTTTATTGATTAATTACAGTTAATAATTTTGGATTGAAAAAGTATTGGAAGCTTAGTCAGCCCAAGTTTTAATACAGTGAGGGAAAAAAGTATTTGATCCCCTGCTGATTTTGTACGTTTGCCCACTGACAAAGACATTATCAGTCTATAATTTTAATGGTAGATTTATTTGAACAGTGAGAGACAGAATAACAACAACAAAATCCAGAAAAACGTATGTAAAAAAAATATAAATTGATTTGCATTTTAATGAGTGAAATAAGTATTTGACCCCTCTACAAAACATGACAGTACTTGGTGGCAAAACCCTTGCTGGCAATCACAGAGGTCAGACGTTTCTTGTAGTTGGCCACCAGGTTTGCACACATCTCAGGAGGGATTTTGTCCAACTCCTCTTTGCAGATCTTCTCCAAGTCATTAAGGTTTCGAGCCTGACGTTTGGCAACTCGAACCTTCAGCTCCCTCCACAGATTTTCTATGGGATTAAGGTCTGGAGACTGGCTAGGCCACTCCAGGACCTTAATGTGCTTCTTCTTGAGCCACTCCTTTGTTGCCTTGGCCGTGTGTTTTGGGTCATTGTCATGCTGGAATACCCATCCACGACCCATTTTCAATGCCCTGGCTGAGGGAAGGAGGTTCTCACCCAAGATTTGATGGTACATGGCCCGTCCATCGTCCCTTTGATGCGGTGAAGTTGTCCTGTCCCCTTAGCAGAAAAACACCCCCAAAGCATAATGTTTCCACCTCCATGTTTGACTGTGGGGTTGGTGTTCTTGGGGTCATAGGCAGCATTCCTCCTCCTCCAAACACGGCGAGTTGAGTTGATGCCAAAGAGCTCCATTTTGGTCTCATCTGACCACAACACTTTCACCCAGTTCTCCTCTGAATCATTCAGATGTTCATTGGCAAACTTCAGATGGCCCTGTATATGTGCTTTCTTGAGCAGGGGGACCTTGCGGGCACTGCAGGATTTCAGTCCTTCACGGCGTAGTGTGTTACCAATTGTTTTCTTGGTGACTACGGTCCCAGCTGCCTTGAGATCATTGACAAGATCCTCCCGTGTAGTTCTGGGCTGATTCCTCACCGTTCTCATGATCATTGCAACTACAAGGTAAGTACTTGCATGGAGCCCCAGGCCGAGGGAGATTGACAGGTCTTTTGTGTTTCTTCCATTTGCGAATAATCGCACCAACTGTTGTCACCTTCTCACCAAGCTGCTTGGCAATGGTCTTGTAGCCCATTCCAGCCTTGTGTAGGTCTACAATCTTGTCCCTGACATCATTGGAGAGCTCTTTGGTCTTGGCCATGGTGGAGAGTTTGGAATCTGATTGATTGATTGCTTCTGTGGACAGGTGTCTTTTATACAGGTAACAAGATGAGATTAGGAGCACTCCCTTTACGAGTGTGCTCCTAATCTCAGCTCGTTACCTGTATAAAAGACACCTGGGAGCCAGAAATCTTTCTGATTGAGAGGGGGTCAAATACTTATTTCCCTCATTAAAATGCAAATCAATCTATAACATTTTTGACATGATTTTTTCTGGATTTTTTTGTTGTTATTCTGTCTCTCACTGTTCAAATAAACCTACCATTAAAATTATAGACTGATCATTTCTTTATTAGAGGGCAAACGTACAAAATCAGCAGGGGATCAAATAATTTTTTCCCTCACTGTATATACCAAATTTGATACCATTCACATTTTCTCACAAACAAATGGGCTATAAAAACACAACTTTAGCGCTTCGTTTACCCCGGCCAGAGGGACAGGGCTAGTCTATGCTGCTGCTGTTGTTAGTAGCCTAGAGTTGATCAGACTGAAAAAGAGTCTCGTTTTCATGCAACACATCATGTCAGATCGCTAATGTTTAGGTGTAAAGGCTGCTACATTTATGTAAGAGTTTTTGCTTGTGTCTGTCGGAGGTGATATGTTTTCACGCTTGCTAAATAAATACCGGAGGAAAGTGGAGACCGCCTTGAGCTTTGTGCCCGGCCCGCGTGACCTGTGTTTTCCATTAATCTGATTGGTCAAGACACGCAAAGAGCCTGTAGCAGCACTCTGATGTGAAAGACAGAGAAATTGTGCGCGAGTTCACAAATCATGAGGAAAATCGGTTTAAAAAACAGTACTTTGCCCCTCTTTCTAACGCTTTGCTTAGATGTATTTTATTAAACTAAATCAAAAGTGGTATGGCTCTGGCACAGCCACACCTGATTGAAAAGTGCTGTGGCAAATGCAGCCTCGCCACACATTTTCCGGCGGCCCTGCCTTCTGGAATGTTACCCATAAACAGTGTCTGTTTTCACTGCTATGCTTGTGGACCCCAGGAAGAGTAGCTGCTGCTTTAGCACTAGCTAATGGGGATCCTAATAAAATACAAAAAAATGCTGACAATACACAACTGTTTATTTTAAAGAAACCTGGCGAGGCACCTCAGTCTGCTATTTTAGAGGCTTGACTAAAAATGATTAGAATGAGAAAAAGATACGTTCAAAATGGTCTACAAGCTGTATTACTCCGGTTGCATGATTAGTAAGTGTGTGTGTGTGTGTGTTTGTGTGTGTGTGTGTGTATGTTCTATAAAAGCTCATGAATTCCTACAGGTCCAAAGGGGCAAGGGTAAGCATGTATGGGAAACATCTGGTCTGAAGGAGAGCTGACGTCCACGCACACACACGCACGCACACACACACACACACACTCCTCAACCCCTTGGAGCCCTCTAAAGCCGTGCCCCAGAAGTGAAATCTGATCACATAATTGATTTATCAGAATGCTGTGTGTCGCTTATAGAGCTAACAAATACAGCTCTCAGGCTCACAACACACACACATACTTACACACGCATGCGTAGCCACGTATACACACACAAACACACACACACACACACACACACACACACAGAGACACACACACAGACAGACAAACACACACACACACACACACACACACACATGCATACACAGAAACAGTTACAGAAACACAGGGTAGAGTTACATGTCGGAAGGGACCACTCTTTACTTAACAAAGCCTGTGCTTCCTGGATGTGTCATGCAAGGGGCGAACGGATTAACAAACGCAGAAATACCCACAGACAGCGTCAGTGTGGGACTCAGTGGGGCACGGGGTATCTGGGTGATCAATCACCATGGTAACTATCAATCAGCACCACTGTATCTGATTGACAGCTTCCTGTTTGGACAGGAAGTGGTTGTTTCCAAGTAGAGGGGGAGGTCAGTGTGGGTGCTTGTCCATGTGTGTATTTTTTGTTCTTTGCATTTGTGTGTGTGTTGGACATACTTCTGTTCCAGCAACCATAGGGTTCCCCAGGTCACACACCACCAGTCTGGAGTCATTCACCATCCTGTACTCACAGTTCAACCTGGATAGAGACTGGAGAGGAAAGGAGGCCAGGCAAGAAGAGAGGCGGTAGAAGAGAGAGGGTGGAAGAGGAATAGAGAAGGTGATAGGTGGGGGAAGGGAGGAGAGGAAGCGAGTGATGAATGTTCTGACAGTAACAACCTCATCCATCTTAGGGCCCCACTATACACTCATTACCTCTCTCTCTCTCTCTCTCTCTCTCTCTCTCTCTCTCTCTCCCTCTCCCTCTCTCTCTCACACACACACACACACAACAAACACACACAGACACACTGAGCCTCTAGAGAAATAACCCTGACGTTATCAACAGGATGTAATGCAATGGTAAAGAGGACAGCAAGGCAGTAGGGTCTATTTGAGCTGGGCTAGGGTTGGGGCCAGTGTGGGGGGTGGTAGTGTGGGGGGTGGTAGTGTGTTTGTGAATGTGTGTTCTCACCTCTATCCTGCGTTCCACTCCTATGTAATCAGCCTCAGGGGGTAGGAGTGTGTGTAGCTCCGTCTCATATGCCCCCTCTCCTTCGTTAACCGCGTTTATGGTCAACATGACCAGGTTGTCATCCCCGACCACCAGCTCTGTACGGTCCCTGTGTTTGTGTGTGTGTGTGCAGGAGAGAGAAAAAAACAAGTCAATACTATGTCATATAGTAGAGGTCGGAGTGTGTGTATCAGTCAGCGGAGAATGACAGGGTGTTTGTGTTGGGCTGCCATGGCGATAGCATACAGATGGAAATAGTAGAAAAACACACACACACACACACACACACACACACACAGAAACACAGACACACACATACACACACACACACACACACACACACACACACACACACACACACACACACACACACACACACACACACACACACACACACACACACACACACACACACACACACACACACACACACACAGGCTTCTCTACACACTTGCTAATGTAAACAATCAGAGAGTAAACATCTCTCCTTGCATGCAGTAACACAGTCCTACCCTTTGTTTGTGTGTGTATATGAATGTGTGTGAGTGTGAGTATGTACATATGTTGAAAGTTTACAGGTTGACAAGGACTTTTCTGAATCTTCCCAGCATGCCTCACTTGACAGGGCAGGGCACAACACACCACAAGGTGTAACACACCCATATATGAGTAAGGTTATTTAACTACTGTATTTAAATGAGACCGTAACTGTTTCATGTTGACGTATATGCTACACATGTTACATACAGTGCACACTTACATGCTAGCAGACAGCTGGAGGTTTGGAATACACTCGTTGTCTTCCCCACAGTCCAGCAGAATATACGCCTGAGAAATAAAGTAGAGAGGGAGAGACAAATGGGGAGAGGGAAGGGGGGGGGGGATTTAGGTCTAGTCTAACTTGTCTAACGGTACTCATATGCTGTAAGTGGTCTTGATTGGATGAGAAGGAGAGCCCACACACACACCTGTTCCTGCAGGAAGGTACTGCTGTAGTGGTTGAGGACAGGGGGGAGGTCCAGGTTGGAAGGAGGAGGGGCTAAACTGTAGTTCAAAGCCAATGAGATGGGAGTCAATTTATCCCTAAACTCATCCTCCCCCTGAAAGGGACAGAGAGAGAGAGAGACACCATGTAACAGAACGATTGTTCACTATAACACAATAACTGGTCCAAAAACAGGTTCAGCTGAGTTGGCAGATATTTTGAGAGGATCTTGTCCAAATACAGCAAGGATGGAGGCCTCAAATTGTTTTGGAAACTCAAATCAATTTTTTTGGCAGCAGAGTGTGTTTGACTTACTCGTAGGTAGACAGTATAGTTCAGGCAGGAGTGTGGACGGTTGTGGCCAAGCATTAGGACCCCTGTGTGCTGGGGCTGATGGGAATCCAGGAAATTAACTCTCTTAACTCCGCCCCTCACACCTTTCAGCCAATCCAGTTGCAGCTCTGCATTCAGGACTGGGAGAGGTGGAGAGAGGGGGATGGAGGGAGAGAGTGAGGAGGGTTTCCATATGTTCCCATCATGTGTGTGTGTGTGTGTACTCTCATCTGGTGTGCAGGAGGGAACCCTGGGTATGGTCTACTTGATCACTTTTAGATTCTACAGAGCATCATTAGCCAGTGGAAACAATGCATTCATACATTCATATAGTTATCAACTCTAACACTAACTTATACATAAACCCCTCCCTCCCCGCTCTCCATCCCCAGTCAGAGATACTTACCTACAGAGTCTGGGATCCCCACACCGCTCACCTTCGCACAAACATCTATCCTGAGACTGAATAACAGAGAGAGAGAGGTAGAGAGACATGGGAGACCGAGAAAGGATAAAAACATTGCTCCTCTGTATGTCTGTGTGTGTGTCTGTGTGCGTGTGCGCGTGTGTTTGTGTGTGTGTATGCGGTCATTAGATTCCAGGATATTAATGGTGCAGGTTTCCCTCTGCAGGAGTCACTTTCCTGTTCCTGATAGAAGGGACGATAACACACACACACACACACACACACACACGGGAAATGCATACTGGGGTTCTCTAGCGGTGAAATGCCTGTCTACCAGAACCAATCAGGATAGAACAATGACTTCCTCTTTACCACCCATCCCCTCAGCCTCCCCAAAACCACCAGAAAAACAACTCAACTTGCCAAAGCTCTCAATAAAACAATTATTCCAATAAAATAAAAAGCAACTATCAAAGACAGTCCTAAAAACTCCCTAACAGTACATGTGTTGTTGTGCCCTATCTAGTTCCTCCAGCCACAGTCTGTCACGCCCTGGCTCTGGGGACTCTAGTATGTTGAGCCAGGGTGTGAGTTTTCATTTGTTTATGTTCTAGTTGTTGTATATCTATGTTGGCCAGGGTGGCTCCCAATCGGAGACGGCTGTAGCTCGTTGTCTCTGATTGGGAGTCATACTTAGGTAGCCGTTAGGAATTCATTATTTGTGGTTTCTTGTTCGTATTTGGTTTGTGTATGACCATTGACTGTCACGTCATCGTTTTGTTGTTTTGATCGTGTGATCATTCTCTAAATAAATATGTTCACATTCAACGCTGCGCCTTGGTCCTCATCTCTCACCGACGATCGTGACAGAAGAAACCACCATAACAGGACCAAGCAGCGTGAAGAAGAGAGAGGATGGACTTGGGAGCAGTGGAGTAAGAGTCTCGACTGGGCCAAGCCAAGCGAAGAGGAGAGAGGTTGGACTTTGGAGCAGTGGGGTGAGAGTCTGGCGAGAGACATGGAGGCCTGGTCCACGGGGAGAGACGCCCAGAAAATTTTTAGGGGGGGGCTAACGCCGTGGACGACGGGCCAGCAGGAGACCGCGGCAGAGCGGCCCAGCGGGTTGGCAGAGGAGGCCGCCAGGTTACGGGGGCCACTGGTCGAAGAGGGGGTGGAAGGTGTAGAGGCACGGCGAGAGATACTGGGGTGTGTTACCAGTCCGGTCCGGCCCATTCCAGATCCCGGCGTAGGACCAGTGGTGTGTGTCCCCAGTACGGTCCGGCCTGTTCCTGCTCCCCGCACCAAGTCAGTGGTGCGCTTCGTCAGCCCGGCTCGGCCCGTTCCTGCTCCCCGCACCAAGTCAGTGGTGCGCTTCCTCAGCCCGGCTCGGCCCGTTCCTGCTCCCCGCACCAAGTCAGTGGTGCGCTTCGTCAGCCCGGCTCGGCCCGTTCCTGCTCCCCGCACCAAGTCAGTGGTGCGCTTCGTCTGCCCGGCTCGGCCCGTTCCTGCTCCCCGCACCAAGTCAGTGGTGCGCTTCGTCAGCCCGGCTCGGCCCGTTCCTGCTCCCCGCACCAAGTCAGTGGTGCGCTTCGTCAGCCCGGCTCGGCCCGTTCCTGCTCCCCGCACCAAGTCAGTGGTGCGCTTCGTCAGCCCGGCTCGGCCCGTTCCTGCTCCCCGCACCAAGTCAGTGGTGCGCTTCGTCAGCCCGGCTCGGCCCGTTCCTGCTCCCCGCACCAAGTCAGTGGTGCGCTTCGTCAGCCCGGCTCGGCCCGTTCCTGCTCCCCGCACCAAGTCAGGGGTGCGCTTCGACAGCCCGGCTCGGCCCGCTCCTGCTCCCCACACCAAGCCAGTGGTGTGCGTCGTCAGTCCGGCACGGCCCGTGCCTGTTCCACCGGTGGCTGGTCCGGCACCGGTCAGATGCTTCACGCCGGAGCTAGAGCAATCCGCTCCACCAGTGTGCAGTCCAGCTCCGGCCAGCGGGGCCAGACCGGACCAGGGGTACCTTGGGGGGTTGGAGAGCGAGTGGGGATCATGCCCGGAGCCGGATCCGCCGCCAAGGCGGAGTACCCACCCGGTCCCTCCCCTGTGGTATTTGGTTGGCGCGGTCAGAGTCCGCGCCTTTAGGGGGGGGGTACTGTCACGCCCTGGCTCTGGGGACTCTAGTATGTTGAGCCAGGGTGTGAGTTTTCATTTGTTTATGTTCTAGTTGTTGTATATCTATGTTGGCCAGGGTGGCTCCCAATCGGAGACGGCTGTAGCTCGTTGTCTCTGATTGGGAGTCATACTTAGGTAGCCGTTAGGCATTCATTATTTGTGGTTTCTTGTTCGTATTTGGTTTGTGTATGACCATTGACTGTCACGTCATCGTTTTGTTGTTTTGATCGTGTGATCATTCTCTAAATAAATATGTTCACATTCAACGCTGCGCCTTGGTCCTCATCTCTCACCGACGATCGTGACACAGTCTGATGGTTTATTTCAATCAGCTGTGTTTGTTTTGACAGAATTCCACAGTTTAGCGCCGTCTGTCAATCTGCCCAAACCCACCATCTCTACCCCTGCCAACACACATAGCCTAAGAAGCACCCTATTGGTCTTATGTCTGTCACTCACTAGGTTACCATGGCGTAGGGTTTCTGGAAAGGTAGGGCATGTGTGTGCCTGCGTGTGTGCGTTGGTGCTTGCGTGCGTGCCTGTGTACTCACCAGGTCACCATGGTATCAGATTCTGTCAGGAGGCAGGATCGGTCGTCAGGGTTCAGGATTCTAGGAGTCAGGATCATCTCTGCCTCCACTGA